GTTACCTTTTGTCCTGATACAGTTGCAGTTGCTATGACTCAAGCAATGACAATCCTAGATGAATTATGTTAAATCTTTACCTTCACAGCCGGCAGCCCCACCCTTTCCCCTAGAGCGGGAACAGATGTGCTGATCAAAACAGAATCATAAATTGTCACGTTCTGGACTTGGTGGCCAAGATGGTAGCGTAGATAGAGCCTGATCTCGCCTCCTCCCATGCACACAGCGAACTTACACCTAGATTGCCAAGTTCTGGTGGCATTCTACCTCTTTCAGTCAGATGGCTGAGAAGTCATCTTAAATTAGTAAACAGGAAAGAGATTGAATTGTGAGCCAATATTAAGCAAATCTGAAAAGGAAATAAACGAAGGATAATTCAAGAAAATCGAAGATTATTGGCATAAACATTAACCCAAGTGAGAAAACCAGAAAAACCATGCCAAGGCAACTGAAGCAAAGAAGAGATACAGCAGCATCCAGGAGAACTGAAGCTAAAAACAAAGACCAGAGTCCACCAGGTGCGGCCTTGAAACGAAGTCAAGTAGAGAAGATTTGGCCACACTCTCTCTTATGTTAGAAAACTGTGTTCCATTTAGCTGGAAAGCAGGGCTTCATCTGTCTTAGAACGGTTGTAATCAGAAGTACAGTCTGGCAGCTAGCTAAAATCATTGTAGATGTTGTCTGTGATGCACCCACAAAAAATGTTTTAAATTTCTTGTAATTTTGCTAGGAAGGGAAAATAGACTACAAACTTTCAAAGTAGCATATGATGAGATCTGGATATAAGTGACAAGGAAATGAGAAATATAGAAAAGGTACATAAAGGTTCAGTAGGTAACTAGTGGGAGAATCCAGAAAGGTGCTTAGGCCAGAACTAGGCCTGCCTTCTAGGGAAGGACCTGCTGAGAGTTGTGAACGAGAGCACAATCTCAGCTACCCCTGGGAAGGGGCAAGGTTCAGTCCCCAGGCAGCTCCTGGCATCCCTGGGCAGGACTCAGGCAAATTATCCGTCCTAAAGGGACCAGACCAGAAGAGCAGTGCCTCCTAGCAGGTGTCCAGAGCACGCGCTCAGGACTGCAGCACGTGGCAGGGGCTGCCCAAGGAAAGCAGGGCCATAGGCGAGGAGGCTGCGGTTCAGAAGTGGGGATTCCATCCCCAGAGATGGGAACAAAACAGGATGGAAGCAAAGCTAGGGCAAGGTTCCAGGCCCAGTAAGAGGATGGTGGGGAAAGTAGGATATGAAAACAGAAAATCAGAATGGAGGACGAAAAGAGTCATGAGCCTAGCGCTGTCCTGCCGTGGGGAACTGGAGGAGGAAACTCCAGTGCGTGGGTGGGCAAACGTGCCCCAGTGCACTGCCACGTGGGGCCAGCTCTGGCTCTGGGACCCCAGTAGAAACCAACGGTCAACAGTAGAAACATCATACCCCTCTCAGGGCTGCAGCCAAGACGGCTCAGAGCCCAGAGTAGGGCCTTGGTTTGAATATTTGGAGCTCTTCTCACCCAAATGCCATCTTCATAACTACAGCATCTTAAGCGAATAGATGGATAATTTTGTCTCCGTCCCACAGGCAACATTTGGCGATGCCTGAACACATCTTGAGTTGTCACGTCAGGGGGTAGATGCTACTGGCATCTAGTGGCGAGAGGGCAGAGATGCTGCTAAATATGCTACGATGTACAGGACAAGAATGATATGACCCCAAATGTGGACAGTGTTGAGGCTGAAAAGACTTGATATAAAGTATTCCCAGCCTTCACTCCTGGCACTTGCTATTTTCAACAACCTTCTGGCACTTGTTACTACTGGAAACTATTCTTTGTTTATGCATCTGCACATTTATTGCCTATTTCTCCTATTATAACGTGAACTCCTGTAGCTGAAAACTTGTTCTTCTTGTTCGCTGCTGTATTCCCAGAACCTGACATGTAGTAGGCACGGAATAAATGTTTGCTGCATGAATACGTTGAAATGAATGAATGATAGAATCAATGCATGAAAAAGGGCAAAAATGCAAACCAAAGAAACTTTGACTTCAAACTCCGTTGGTATGAAGGAGGTTCAGATGAGTTCCTAATTCGGTTCAAAGGCATGTTCAGTCACGCAGTAATTCTATTATATGTATGTGTGTTAAGGTTTCCACTGGAGTGTAAGTTCCTTGAGGTCAGTGTCCAGATCTTCCTCATCTCTAGCACAGAGCTGAAGCCAGTCATGGTGTCAGAGCACAGACTTTACAGCCAAGACACCTGTGAAACATTACTCATTTACAGTTTATTGGGGATGTCAGTAGAAGCACCAGATTCAGCCCTTTAGGTCATGAGAAGAATGTGCATTCCACAGGCAGTTAATGTAGAATCTGTATGTTTTTCTACCCTCCCCAAATTGCACCTGAGGTCACATCTCATCATTGCCAAATAAAAAGTTGTCACAGTTCGAAAAGTGAATACTCTGTCATTACATCATTTGACCTACACTTCATTTACCTGCATAAAGCCTGGTAAATGAGATTAAACAATCCAGTGGTTTATATTTGAATAAAAGTGATGTTCCTCCTGCTTGTGTAAGATGAGAGCTCCCTACTGCACCCTTCCCTTCAGACGGCTTTAGGAATGATGAAATGACAAGTGAAGATGATCATTTCCAAATAGTAAAAATTGAGAGAAAACTTCCAAATAATGTTCGGCAAATACATTAATGCTGAGAAGGGAAACAAGTAGAAATTTCTTCAGTTGTGGATATTTTTAGAACAGAGGAAAGACTAGAGTGTATGGTGGATTACAAACTGACCATGTGGTAAAAACAACATTATAGGAAACATAAATATGAGCCAATGTGTGAAAATTCCTTATAATCTTTGCCTGGTATATAGTAGTTTATTAATAATTATGATTTTTCTTCCCCATCCATCACCCCCACCTGGTTCCTCTTCCAAGGATCAACAGTGACATGGAGCCTTCTTTAGGTACTAATGAGAATTTATGACTCTCGATTTATGGGAACTGTGAACATTCAGAAAATAAAGTACATTATTAAAAGGTAAAAAGTAAGTCTTGTGAAAAAAATTAAAAGAATTGAAATGATTCATTCTAAACAAAAATGGGCTAAAGTGTCTTATTAATACTAATATTTAGGAGCTAAATATTCTTCTCTTGCAGAATCAGACCTTTAAAATTATCTTTCAAATATAAATATTTGAAATTTGAAATAAATATTTATTGGGGTCTACCATATGCCAGATGGAAACAACAATAAGTAATACAAAGGGTCTATTCTCACGTAGAATCTTAAGTAGCACAAGTCAGCTGGCATTTAGTTGTTTATTTAATGTGTATTTCTTAATGACCCATTATGTTACAGGTTAAGAAATCTTATCATTCCTTATAAAGTAAGCTGTATAGGTATTTATTTACAAATATGGGTAAGCTTCAGATTATTTATCATTCTGATAGCAGAGCTATGAAAGAATTAGAAGATGGTAATTCGAAATCAGAAATTAAATGGCCCAATCAGTGATGTTTTAAATAACTCATAAGACATTCTTAATCAAAACAGTGAAGGGGAAAGGAAAC